GCATTATTTCGTATGCACAGTTTCCATATGCACAATTTCAGGGTGCCATATCGTGACTGTTGGGACTTTCGGGGTTATTTAGGGATTTTTGGGACTCTCGGGACTATTTCGGGATTGAAGGGAGTAATTTGGGTGTTTTTGGGGCTTTCGAGATTATTTCCAGATCTTTGGGCCGTATTTAGGACTTTTGGGATTTTCAGGAGTATTTCGGGATTTTTGGGACTATTTCTCCATTCTTGGGATTAATTTAGGAATTTTGGGATTTTGAGAACTAATTTGGGATTTTTGGGACCTATTTTTGGATTTTCGGGACTTTCGGGACTATTTTGGGATTCTCGGAACTAATATCGGGACTGTTGGGTCTTTCGGGGTTAATTAGGGATTTTTGGGACTCTCGGGACTATTTCGGGATTAAAGGGAGTAACTTGGGTATTTTTGGGACTTTCGAGACTATTTCCAGATTTTTGGGACTTATTGAAGATTTTTGGAACTTTTGGGTGTATTTCGAGATTGTCGGGAGTAATTTCGGACTTTTCGGATTTTTGGGACATTCAGGCCGTTTTTTCATTTCTTCGTTTTGGTATATTGGAGTTCGCTGATATTTGCTAGTACATAGTTCCTCTAAATTCTCGCATCACATACGGACAAATATATATTTCGCGCATTGCAATTACCATTTGCTCGCTAGCCATTATTTGCGCACCCCCGCTTCCTAACTCTCATGCAACCTAGGAAACGCTCCTTGGTTCCACAATCGAAGTCATTCAAAATACATACCGATAGAGGTCCCGGATATCCCGAAATACTCCCGAAGGTCCTAAAAATCCCGAAATTATTCCAGAGAATCCCGAAAACCCCATAAAACCGGAATAGGTCCCAAAAATCTGGAAATAGTCCCGAAAATCCAAAATTAGTTCCAAAAATCCGAAAATAGTTCCGAGAATCCCGAAATAGACCCGAAAGTCCCAAATATCCGAAATAAGTCCCGGATATCCCGAAATACACCCGAAGGTCCTAAATATCCCGAAATTATTCCAGAGAATCCCGAAAACGCCATAATTCCGAAGGTCCCAAAAATCTGGAAATAGTCCCGAAAATCCAAAATTAGTCCCAAAAAAACCGATATACTCCCGAAAACCCCAAAAATCCCGAAAATAGTTTCGAGCATCCCGAAATAGTCCCGAAAGTCCCAAAAATCCGAAGTAAGGCCCAAAAATCCCGAATTAATTCCCAAAGTCCCAAAATTCCTAAATAAGTCCCAAAATTTGTCCCCAAAAAATCGATATACTCCCGGAAACCCCAAAAATCCCGAAAATAGTTCCGAGTATTCCGAAAGTCCCAAAAATCCCGAATTAGTTCCCAAAGTCCCAAAAATCTCGCAATGGTCCCGAAAGTTCCACAAATGGAGAAATGATCCCGAAAGTTCCAAAAATCCTGAAATAAGTCCCAAAAATCTCGAAATACTCCTGAAAATCCCGAAAAGGTCGCGAAAGTTCCAAAAATCCAAAATTAGTCCCAAAAAAATCGAAATACTCCCGAAAGACCCAAAATCCCGAAAATAGATCCAAGAACCCCGAAATAGTCCCGAAAATCCGAAATAAGTCCCAAAAATCCCGAAT